GCTATCCCCTCCGTGATAGCCGCAACCTCAGAATCTGGTCCTACGTCACTGATGTTGAGTACAGATTCAAAATCACTTTCTGATTGGTGTCCTTTGTGGAGGTGTTTAAGCTTCTTCTGCCTTTCCGGGAAATCTGTTTCTGTGACCGCAAAGGCACCCAGTTGGGATCCCAACCTGCTCCTGAAGGAAGGACGGGTAGGTGGGAAGAAGGAAGCAGTAGCAGCTATCTCAGCTATCCCCTCCGTGACAGCTGCAACCTCAGAATCTGGTTCTACGTCACTGATGTTGGGTACAGATTCACCACCACTTTCTGATTGGTGTCTGGATGAAGTCAATCGGGCGGGGGTTCCATCCTGAGATGCTGGATTGGGATCCAGCCCCGAACTAAGTGTTTCCGTATCCCGCAATGTAGTCAGGGGTGCCGGCAAAGCTTGGGAGAATGCCAGGAACAATCGCGGTACACTGGTTTTCCGCAACCCCCTTCGGCTTAGAGATCTTGAAACGCCGTCACTCTCAGTTACCTTATTAGTCATACTTTTCTCCATCTCCCTCATTTGAGACGGTGAGTCAGCGGAAATGCCCATGCCACTGCTTGGCTCTACATCACTGGCCGTGTCGACAGCGTGCCTGGAAGTGGTTAGGTCATAGAAGTGAGCTTGGCCATTGCTGTCTAATCTGTCGAATGAAATTTCTGGAAAAACGGGGAACGACTCGGTGGAATGTCCTTGGTCAGCGGTCAGCAGACCTTGCTCCATCCCGGTGGTGGTCCCATGAATCAGGCTCTCGTATGACAGTTGCGGTTCCAATTGTGCTTGGGTCATGGAACTCCCTCCTGCAGCTTCCATTGAAACCTGCTTATGGCTCAAAAGAACAGAAAAAGAGCCGATATCGACCAACCAATACGCCATTAGATCTCCAGGATCATCCAACAGTATCTGATATCACTCTACAATACACATCCCTCTCCTACCCTCTTTTCCCCCTGTGGCCCACCTCCTACAACCCTTTTACCACAGCTAAATTAAGCTAATCAATTAATGTGAAAAACCAATCAAATCCAATGAAATGAGGTCAGATGGGCATAGAAAGGAAGCAGATAACACAAACCCATGGGATGAATTGGATTGAAAATAGATTTAGTAGTAAGTCTAGTTTTTACTCTTATATCAAGTTACATGTGTGTGTGTGTGTGTGTGTGTGTGTGTGTGTGTGTGTGTGTG